TCCTCCTCCATATTTAGAGCTGGTACTAATTAAAGTGTCTGCTTGGCTCATGTTGTGTTGCTGATATCAGAGAGAGCATTTTCTTTTCTTAAAAGATTACAGTGCTCGTAGAAGAACCACTTTTTTATTTCACTGTTGGTTCATTGATGTTCATGGAAGATAACATTGTCAAGTTTAAGCAAGCAATTGATCCTTTACAACAGGTATGTGTGTTAACTGTTACTATATTAAGATGACAGTGAGTTTTAAAATTCAATCGTTGCTGCATTGAAAGGACCTCTCTCTGTTAGTAGTGTACTTTTATTGGTGTTATAATGGAAGTTGCAATCATTAGACCTCTTTCTTTTTTAATGTTTTATCGTTGTTGGTGGTGATAGGTTTTTGTCAACCTTGAGTCCATTCCTGATCCGTTATTTCGGGATGAGACTGTAAAATGTGCTATAGCTGGGCTGATGCGGGATATAAGAGGAATTGCAATGGCCATACACAGGTGATGTGCGGGAACTAAGCCACATCTCTTTGCTCTATCTATAAAATCTTTAATACTATGGAGAAAAAATTTTAACCTCTTATATTTCATTAATTACTTCAGTCGCAAGGCATATGGGTTTCTTTTTGATTGGTTATATCCAGCACATATGCCTCTTCTTTTGAAAGCTATTGCTACTTGGATCGATTGTCCAGAGGTAAGCTGCCTTTTCCCTTGAGATGGTTTTACATAATAGTGTCTTGACAATAACATGACATGCTGTAGGTTTTACCTGATTATCTGCATGTTTGAGTTTTGATTGTGATATGTATTGTACAAGCGATTTTTTTTTTTAGGAATCATATGATTGCCTTTCCAGTCGGCATGTTTTAAGAGTGGATCAAATCTGAGCCATCATTCTAATAAAAAGTATTGATCATAGGATTACTTAATCTAGTGGGAGTAGCTTATTAATGAAAGTCAAGATATCCAGGCAATTTCGGCGTTATTAAAGAAAATCAAAGTATCTTGTATCTGCATTGATTTTAATTATTTCTTTTTGAGGGATCATCCTTAATGAGTAATGGTGATTATGATGATTAATCACAAAGTCTGTTGCAGGTGACAACTCCATTGCTGAAATTCTATGCAGAGCTAGTTCTAAATAAATCCCAGCGCTTAACGTTTGCCCAATCCTCTCCTAGTGGCATACTGCTTTTCTGGGAAGTTAGCAAGTTGCTTGTTGCTTATGGGTCTAGAATTCTTGCTCTTTCTGGTCCAAAAGATGTCTATAGGACCAAATACAAAGGAATTTGGGTTTCTCTTTCCATATTAACAAGTGGTATGTACTTTCAAAATTGAGCTTTCCCATAGTCTTATCCCATCATCCCAGTCCCATCCTTTACTTCCTTTGTTTTTTTGGTTGCACATTTTTGATGTTACTCTATACCCGGAGTCTTGTTTAACTACTTTTGGTGATTTTTTACTAGAGAACAATTTTGGTCATGTGGAAGCTTATTAAATGCGGCTAAACACATACTTCCAAAATATCAACAGTAATATGTTTACTTTATAGTTTATACATTAGCATGCGTAAAAATAGAAAGGTTACAATTACCAGTTTACACCCCCCCCCCCCCACCCCCGACAGTGGTGTATCTGTTTTTTGTTTTTTTAAAGATAGTTTCTAGTAACTTATAAAATGAGGAGACAAAAGGTGGTCAAAATTCTACTCAAATCAAGAAAAGCTTAAAAAAACCCTGCAATCTAGAATTACATTACATCAGATAGAGACATGCTTAGGCAAGGCTTAATGTGGGGTCCCCAAAGAAAAGCTAAATACATCACCTGACCGAATAAGAAATCAATCTCATTCTTGAGATGATACCCAATCCTGAAAAGTACTACTCCCTCTATTCCATAATATAGTTCCCGTTTCCCATATTTCACGGGAATTAAGGAACAGTAGGAGAAGCTTGTAAAAGTACATCAAAGACAAAATTCAAGAAAAGTACAATAGCAATAATGAATATAGTAGAAAAATCCAAAAGCATTTAATAGGGGGAAAAAAATTAGGGAAAAGTAAGGGTAGTTTGTATGGGAATTTAAAGTCATTTTAAGTAAAATCTTAAAAAGGAAAGAACAGAAATGGGAAGAACATTTTGGTTTGCCTGAAAAGGAAAACGAAAACTATATCTTGGGACAGAGGGAATATTATTCGTCTCCTGAATATATAAAGTATAACAGAAAATGAATCGTTGTAATATGGTGCAAGCTATTTCTGTTAAAATGGTTACTGGATTTTTTGACATCTAAGCCTGATTTCTATGCAAATTCTGTTTTGTCATCTTCTTCCCATGCCTGAACCCTGAATGTGGTACTTCCTTTGGTCTCATTGCTTGTTGCCTTGTCCGCTCAATAATGCTTGGGTAGTTTAGTATTTTCCCTGTCAAAATTCGTCTTTCCGTGCCTTCCAAAGATTCAATTTTAATCTTGGATACTGCATTGCTGTTTGAGTGGTTGTAATAGCAAATGCACTCTGAATTTGTTGCCATTTAGCAACTAGAGCAATCTTAGATCTGCTAGCTATGGTTCTAAATTGTGTATAATTTTGGAATGTTTTCTATCTAACTTCAATGGAAATGTGATTTCTGCTTATGAAAAAGTCTGCTTTTGTTTGACACAATTTTTTTTTACATGTATGCGGAGGAATTTTTTTTTTTTTTTTTATTTTTAATTTTTTTTTTTGACAAGCTCTCCATTTGCCTTTCCAATCCTGGCTTGCAATTATTCTTAGCTTGTCTTAACATATTTTGCGCTGATGTCTTTTAATGACAGCAATTGACGGCAACTATGTCAATTTTGGTGTGTTTGAGCTATATGGTGACAAGGCCCTTGATGATGCTCTTGATATCGCTTTCAAGATGATACTCTCAATCCCTGTTGTTGATTTATTAGCATACAGAAAGGTTTGTGTAGATGTTTTGCTGTCCTGTACCAAAGCCGCAGTCTCTCAGTTTGTTTTGTCGTCCCCTCTTTCCCTCTGTATAATTTTGAATAGAATTTAGTACTGTATTAGATATCTGGTGACCCTGCTTATCAATATGTTTTTAGTTTGTTGTCCTTGTTTTTTTTTATCATTCATGTTTATCAATATGTTTTTAATTTGTTGTCCTTGTTTTACTTAACAGTCATGCTATTGGTCACTATGCTTCTCCATTTAATTTGATGGTTCATTTTGCTTCTGATAATTTTTCTTATTAATTTCCATATTAATGTTATTGGCAGGTCTCCAGGGCTTACTTCAGTTTTATAGATATTTTTTTCAGCAAGCTTATAAAATTTTCTTGTAACCTGGATGGAACTACTTTCAAGAACATTGTCACATCCCTCCATTCTGGCATAAAGAATATAGAATCAAACATTGTTTCGCAGGTTTGTGTTGGTTGTCATGCTCCCGAATTCCTTTTTTCACCTAGTGTTTTTTGTTTATATAGCGTGGCACATTGGCACAAAATTAAGATACTTAGATAGTGTGGCACATTGGCACGAAATTAACATGAGCTTGCAATTTGTTGACAAATGGCTGATTCAGTTGTAATTAACATTTGAATTGCAGTGTGCTTCTGCAATTAATAGTTTGGCAACCTTCTATTTTGATCATATTATGATGGGAGAATCGTCTGCTTCACCAGCTCTACTTAATTTTGCTAAGCATATTTCAGATTGTGCTGATATCTTTCTAGATGTAAGTTTAATTTTTTGTTTACGTATTTCTTATAAAGTATTCCATTTTAGTTCTACATCTCATTTGCCTTATTTAATCTTTCTTGAGCCAAGTTCCGGTGCCCTTTGTTTTTCTTATCAACATGTAACGAACTACTTAAGAAATTTGATGAATTTCACAAGTAACGTGTTTTCATTGATCAGATACTCAAGACTATGTTTGAGATAGTTTTATTCGAAGACAATACCTCCCAATGGGGTATTAGCAGAGCAATGCTGAGTTTGATTCTCATAAGTGAAGAAGTAATGAATTCATCTCATTTCTTTTCTATTCATATTTTAGATATTATGTGTCAGATCTGTCTATTGTCAATGCTTATATGATTATGCGTTTGCGTTTTTTGCAGATGTACACAAAATTCAAAACTGAAATAGTGGCATCACAGGTAAATTAAATCTTGCTTTCTTAGAATTGACCCCCCCCTCCCCTCTGGTGACCCTTCATTCTGTGGCATAGAAGATCACTTATTCTTGATGTCCTGTAAACAGCCTGTGGATCAACAGCAACGCCTTTTTCGCTGCTTTGATATTCTTATGGAAGGTGTTACTCGAGATTTAGAATCGGTTAACAGGGAGAGGTTTACTCGAAATCTTGGCATGTCCCGGAAAGAATTTCGTGAAAAATGACTTAAATCTCTCAAATATGTCCAAAGCAGTTAAGGGATGAACTCGTAGTGACATGTAGATAGTTGTGCTAGCCTATAAAACTGTATATTCTTGTTTTTCTACAATTCCTTTCTGTAAATGCCTGTTAATGGCATCTATATTTGAGATATGTTACACAGCTACAAGTTCAAACATGAACTCTGAAGAGCAATTCTTACAGGAGGGAAATCCTTCCCCTTGAAAATTTTGATATAGATGGGAAGATCAGTATTACAAGCCATAATTTGCTGTCTTTCTTTTCAGATTTTACACTATGACAAAGGGGAATGTATTGCTGCCATTTTTTTAAACATGGATCTCGACTTCTCGAGTCATATTGTTCAAATTCCTATACATACCATCTTCCTTCCGTACAAGAATCATCCATTTTGCGATATACTCGTACATTGCTCCTAGTATCAACAAGTATTGGATGATTCTTTATTAAAAATCAGCACAATCTGAAATATGCTTAGCAAAACTACACAATACCATGATTTTGCTCCTCTTCTTACACTTCATTGTTTTCTAGTCATTTATGCCATCAAGTATACTATGTGTATATGCAATTTATATGAAAGATGACATTGTATAAATACAATAAATTCAAATAAATTTAAGAATGAATTTGGGACGATTTGTCATTAAATTTTTTTAATATTTGACACATTTGAATTCATTAACAATAAGCAAAGTATGCCCAAGTTATTTCACCATCAATTGTTTTCAGTACAACTTAAAGTTTCTAGACATCAAACATTATGATAAAACATCATTTCTCTCCACATCAACTCTCTTAGACATGACTCCCCTACATTCGCCTTAATATCAATGTCAAGAGGCCTCATAGCAGTAGGATATTGAGTTGGATCATGCATGCCTGCCATGTAAGGGTGTCGAAGCGCTTCCGTGACTGTAATCCTCTTTGTTGGATTCAAAACAAGCATCCTTCGCAGCAAGTCTAAGGCCAAAGGATCAGCCCTAGGATACATGAGCTCCAAGCGAAGCCCATATGAATAAGGCAATCCTTTGATGTATTTAACAGCATTTGGACTTTTTATGAAGGCGAGATCAGATTCACTAGGACTTCCAAGAAAATTGATGATAAGTTTAATTTGGTCAAGGGGATTTTTACCCGGGAAGAGAGGTTTACGCCCTAGTATCTCCGCAAAGATGCATCCAACAGACCACATGTCAATTGCCGCATCATAGTTGTCGTTGCATACTAGTAACTCGGGTGCTCTATACCACCGTGTTACTACATAATCTGTCAAGGACGATTCACCTTCACCTTTGCACGTTCTTGATAGCCCAAAGTCACATATTTTCAGATCGGAATTTGCATTTATTAAAATGTTTGCTGGCTTTAAATCGCGATGAACTATGTTCGCAGAATGGAGATACCTTAGCCCTTCCAGCAACTACATACACAAAAACACAAATTAGTATATACGTAAATAAATTTAGTTCTATGAATAATTTCAAGGAATTTTTGATTTTTACCACCTTCAAAAAATAAACTTAAGTGGTTCAAAAAAAAAAAAAAATTATATATCGATTTTTTTTTAATATACATACATTTTTTTTTAAAAAAAATAAAATAAAAAGGGTTGGCACGCAGCCCGGCACGGCACAGACCGCTAGACATGTAGGTCGTGCCGTGCCGTGGGCCAGGGTATTCCAAAACTTGGCACGGCACGGCTCGCCGGGACTCCGGCACGGCACGCGGCCCGGCACGATACGATGCCCTTCTTTAGTAGGCCCCACTAACGGATTTATGAACGTAAGCCGTTAGTTGGAGGTGATTGGTGGTAAAAGCCAAATTTTATTTTTTATTTTTATGTTGTGGTAAAATAAAACTTTTTTTTTATGAAGGTAGTACCAAGTGGTAAAAATCAAAATAACCTAATTTTAAATGTTAAAATTAATTAAATCTTGAAACATAAAACATACCTGAAACATGATAAACTTGATGTGATCAGAAGAAAGCGGTTGAGGAGTTCTGAGTATTCGATCAAGATCACTATCCATAATTTCGTAAACCAAGTAAATATCTTTAAATGTGTTCTTAGGGGAAGTGATCATAACATCCCGCAATCCGATCACGTAGTCATGACGGACATTGCGCAATATTACGAGTTCTCTCAACGTTCTAAGCGCCACAACTTGATCAGCAAATACATCACTTATCTTCTTTATTGCAACTTTTTCAACGGTTTTCAAGTTAATCGCAGAACATACCAAACCGTAACTCCCCTTTCCAAGAGGTTGTAATGGTACATATTTTGCATCGAGCTCGAAAACGGCTTGTCCTACCCTACAATGGCGTCTGTTGGTATTTAACCACTTCATTCTCTTATCTTCGCAAGTCACTATGAATTTGACAGTAAAGATTATGCGTGGAAAAGAAAAGAAATAAAATACTCACACTTTAGAGGAAGAAAAAGAGAGCTTAGAGCTAATGAATAATATGAGGAAATAAGAGTTACATTTGATTTCTACATTTGATTTTATAAAGGTAAATGTGGAAATTAACTCCTAGTTCTAGCTACAGTAGAATTTGTAACCAAACTTTCTATAATTTTTTTTTTAAAAAAGATAATCCATGCATTATGATTTTTTTTCATTATTATTATAAAATAGAATAGGATAATGATATTTTGAAACTAATATTTAAGAGCAATAAAAAAAGACACGGTTTACTATTTTTGCATTTGGTTTAATTATATGATTTGTTTTGATATTATTCATACACAAATACACTTCTTATGTTCAAGTAGTACTTTTGTAAAAATAAAATAAAAAATGTTCAAGTAGTACTTTTTTATTGAGGGCATAGAAGTACAAGTTTATAAAAAAATAAATTTGACTTCATCTGAAATTTTATCTGGCAACTTTTGTTTGGTTAAATTGTTTTCAAACAAAAATTTAAATTTGACATGGTTTCAAAAATAAAATAATATATATATATATATATATATATATATATATATATATATATATATATATATATATATATATATATATATATATATATATAAAGAAAAAGAAAAAGAAATTTGACTTCATGTAAGGTACAAATAGAGGAGGATGGAGGGAGTACTCTATAATACGGAGTAGCAAATACAAGTATATGAATTATTTGCATCTGATATTTTGTATAATGCTTTAACTCGTAGTTCGTACGAGTATATTTTATCAATAATTAAAAAGTTATAAATATTATAAATAGAGGAAAAACATATAAGGTTACACATAGACAAGGTTTTTTTTATTGATTGGAACAGTTGGCCCACTTGGTCCCACTTCAATATTTTCGAAATTTTCGCTATAAATTTTGCAAATGAAAAATTTTGAATTTTGAATTCTTAATTTCAATTTAATTGTACTTTTGGTTGTGAATAATGTTGGAGGATTTAATTTAATTTACAAATGCAAATGGAGGACGGCGGTTGCTTTAAGGCGAGGGTCGACGAAGGTGGCTTTAAGGTGAGTTAAGGTGGTTGAGAGGAAATAAAGGGCCGATAGTCGATATATTGAGAGAGAATAGTTTAGAGTATGAACGGTGGTCGGCAAAATCAAAGAGTGATGTAGTCTATAAGATGGTCTTAAACAATGATGGGTGAAATAAAAGGCACGGGTGAGAGAGCGACGGAGACGACGGAGACCAAATGTATTGTTGTAGTACTGAAATTGTTTTGAAAATATTTTGTAATTCATCATTTGTATTATTTTAGTATCAAAACTGATTGTTTTAGTATTATTTGTATTAATTATATTAGTATAAAAAAGAATGTTTTATAAACAAAATTCGTATAAAATTCTTAGTTGTGGTTGTTTATGAACATAAATATCACAAATTGTTATGATATTTGTTGGTCAATTATGTTCCTAAAATTCTTAGCCGTGGTTGTATAATATTTGATTTTCAACTTGAAAAGAGTTTCTGAATTTAGATAAGAGTTTGTGAATTTAGATAAGTTAGTTATTGTAGATCTTTTAGAAGATGAGTTGTCTGTAACTATAGTAGTTGAAAACTTTTGAGAAGAAAGAGTGGGTATGTGATTGTTGGTGAATTTGTTTCGATGTCGCCAAAAAATGGTTTCGAATGTCACCTATCAAATGAAACTCCTCAACTTCAAATCAATGACTTTCTTCACCGTTGTTTGCCATTGCCATACAAATGGTTTCGAAAACTACTTAACTACCTTCATAGAAGAAGTAATTTTTTTTTTATTATTTTTTATGAAAATGATGGGATAAGTTCATCACTTTTAGCGCTCCTCTCTCCTTAGGCAGGACACTCGCAACACAAACTTTTACAGCTTAATTTTCCCGCTCAACTTTCTTTTTATCAATTTTTTAGCAAGCTGATGTGTTTCAATATTATTGGTTGTCTATGTAAGGCTAAAACCAACGAGAATTAATCAGAGTATAGCTCCTCATTCCCAATCTAGTTCTTGTGTCAATATAGCTAAGAGAGCTAAACCCTATCTTGTTTTTCTTGTAGTTTCAGTTGAGAACTAGGCTTTTTTTTAGACTTTGTCAAAGTAAAAAATTTGGATGAAATATATGTCAAGTCATCAGCCATCAATTCTACTCTCAATGATCTTAAACATGAACTTGTGGCTTAATGATATATTCTTCCAAAAAAAAAAAAAAAAAAAGATTGAAAAAACCGGTAGGAATATTATCAAATAACGTCTAGCATCGCCAAACCGACTAAATTTTAGGGAACAAATCCAGACGAACAAATTCATCACAACCCCTAGAGTCCCACCTTGCCATTAAGTGAGCCTAAGGTATTACCTGCCCGTTTTACATGAAAAGTAATAAACGACATAAAATTCTTAGAGAGAGCAACAATATAGTCATCGATTAAAAAAGTAGGAGAGAAATCATCATTCTTCTTTGTCACCCCTGCAACCACATTACTTGCACCAGTCTCAACGTGCACCATAATGAAACCCAATATCTGCGCTAATCGAATACCGAATCTGCAAGCTGCAGCCTCAGCCAACTTGACAGACCAACCCGCAGGCTCTCTTCTCACAGCAGCAGCTATAAGATCACCATCATGGTTTCTGATCACCACACCAAGACCTGTCTTATTTCATATGTATTCATCACAATTAATTTTGCCACACCCAGCCCAAGACAAGTCCACGAGGATCTGCTAGGATTAGGCACACTGTTTCTTACTCGAGTCAAGCATAGATTTAACAATATCATGATAGTGGCTGCAGCTTCGACCTTTAAAAAAAAATTATCGATTGCCCGGGGCTACTCACTAGTTTTATTTTAAAAAGTAATTCTCTGAAATAAATTAATTTTAAAAAAGTATATAAAACTTTAAATTGATGCTTATTGAAAATTTGACAAACTATAATCAATTACATAATACTAAAAGCGAATCTGACATGACACTTGTCATGTTCTGATCAAAAAATTTCCCGCCACTTTTTTCTTTCCAATTTTTTTCTTTTTTGTACAAAATCTTCATTAATATTATTTTATATATTATATGATATTTAACTTTCAACTTGGCAACTATATACAAAATATATTTTATATGCATATCTTTCATATTTTTTATAATAGGTATTTTTGTTTATTTCAATAAATATATATATATATATATATATATATATATATATATATAATAGGTTATTTTGTATAATAAACAAACACATAATAAGGTAATATATTAGAATAATAAAATGTACTACTCTGGTACTTCATATCATTCCACAACGTATTTTTTCTTTGCTCTAACCAGGATTTTATACTTTAGCTATTATTATATATTTATTGATTTTTTTATTTTTATTTTTTTTTATAATTCCCCCTTCGTCCCCTTTTGATAGTCCATTATGGACATTTTTCACGGGAATTAATAAGCACAAATAAAAATAGTAAAAGTAAATTGGTATTGGGTATGAAAAAAAGTTGAGAGAGAGAAAGTAATAAAAGTACATGGAAAAATAAAATTTACCTAGAAAAATTAAGTTTGCACAAATATGGTTGCAAATTGGCGAAAATTTTGGTAAAAAATTTAATATTAATGGTTGTTGGAAAAGGCAAATGGGGTGAACATTTTGGGACTAAAATTTGTCCATAAGAGACTATCATTTGGGGACGAAGGGAGTAATAACATTACAATTCAATAACTATAAACACAAATATAAAACAAAATGAAAACAATCATGATTATTAATTTTCATAAAAATTAGTCAATTAAATTTGTAAACATTGTGCCAGTTATAGTATGCTATAAAATTTTGTGTCGTTCAAAACATGCCAATAAAATAGGGACATATGGCCATATAATTACACTAGGTTAAACCCCGTGCAAATGCACGGTTGTTGAATAATTTTGATAATAATATAATTATATAAAAATTAATGAATCGATGCATCAGGTATCAAAGTGCATGAAATATATTAAAACAATTAAAACATGTGAGAGAAAATATTTATAGTTATAAGGTGCAAGTTGATATTTTAGGAAGTTTATTTTAGATTTTATATATATAAAAAAAGTCATAATCTAAATACAATCTTTAGTTTGTTTCAATTAAAAATATTGTTTTTTTTTTTTGGAAAAAAAAAAATTGTTGTATTAACTTTAAAATTCACTGATTCATAATTTGATTAAGTAAAAACCGTGCGTTGCACAGGATTTTAAACTAGTGTTATTTAAGAGATTATAGGAGAGCGAAGGATGAGAAACTTTTTACAAGTAACTTTTATAAACTATAATGAAGTTTGCTGCTAAACATTCACCAAGATCGATGAACTGATGAAGCGTGCGAAACATTCACCAAGAGTGATAATTCAAACAAGTAGCTAATACGAAGTATATACTAAACACAAAATACTCTGTAGTATAATTAGCGAATTAAACCAAGTATCAAATATTCAAAAACTAGATAAGCAGCCCATTATACAACTTCCAGAATCTCCCTAACTATTATATATACTCCCCTTTTACTCTAATCCACCACATATAGTCTAGTCTCCCATAATTTACATAAAACTTAAGCTACTGATTCTGCCCTGTAATAATTAACTCTCTGAATTATCATCATCTGAAAGCAACCACGACAGGAACTCCGAGCTATCATCTAGAACACCGTCACATTGATTAGGCGCACTAATTCTCTTACGCATGAGCATCTCAATATTAGGAAGCTTTCTTTTCCGTCCACCACGAGGCCTGGATCTGAATTGCTCATCGAACTCCTCAAGATCTCCCTAGAAAAAAAACACAGTTTAGCGGTTAATACAAGTGTAAATGACTGTTAGCATAAGTAGAAACCTAAGAGAGAAGATGTATACATGCACATAAACATGGCGAGTAGATTTCTCATGGTTATCTCTCACGTGCTTGAAGGCAAATCTCATGCCGCAACCAGTGAAGCTACAAATGAAGGGTCTGAGTTTCAAATGTACTGCCTTTACATGCTGCTGCATATTTGATTTCTGTTGAAGTCAAAAACCATTATTATTAATTTCATTCCCTAATACCTACACTGTTCAAAGAGCAATATACGAAAGAGTAACAAGTTACTAAATCATACTGTGGTAAATGAGTGATCACACCCCTCAAAGGTGCACTTGAGTATGGTGGGCAGATGCTCTCCATGAGTTGATAGGTGCCGTTTATAATTTTTCCTTAGGTGCTTGGAACCACATACCTCACAGTTAACATACTGGTGACAAGATCTGATATGAGCTTTGAGGCAATCGACGTTGGCAAATGGTTTCATACAGCTCGGATCAGCACAAAAAGTTTCTGAAGATTCCAAAACTGAACAAGTAATATCCTCAGTCAGTTTCACAACTAATACAACAAACATTTCAAAATAACAGAGGCAAAGCAGAAACTTGCCATGGGTTTCAGCATGTTTCCGCAACTGAGACGCATATTTGAACTCCTTCCCACACCCATTTTCCTCACAAACATGTTTAAATTCTCCCTTCCCGGTGTCAGGTTCAGGCTTATCTTCATGAAATTCCTTCAAATGCCTACTAACATTCCCTTGAACAGAAAACTCCTTGCAACAATTTTCTATAGGGCATTTAAACAGCTTCCCTTGATGCTGAAGAATGTGACGATTTAAGTGATCTTTCCTTCTATAACTAGCATTACAGTCATTTATCGGACAAACAAAGCTCCTCTGCAAATATACCAAGCACCGCGTTCAGGAAAAAAGCCAACGCACAACCAGCATATTCTAATTCATACTACTAAAAATCGGCCCAATCGTCAAACCTTATAATAGTGCGTGTCCAGAGGCTGGGCTTGACGGAGCTTCTCAGGCGGTCCCCCGTCCTGATACTAGTCCAGTCAAGATTTATAAGACTAAGCCTCTTTGCATTTTGGAGTTCATTCTTTGGGATCCAATGCTTCACACACTTCCACATAAATTCATTATCTGCAATATTAACATCAACCAGCTATGAATTCCACACAAATCATCCAAAAACATAACCTTGCTCGTCATTATCTCGATAAATTATCAAATCGAACAAGATAACCCTTACAATTGATCCAACTCTGGCTCAAAACATTACGAATTCCATCATAAATCAATTATACAACACTAATCATAACAATAATTCTGTAAATCAACATATTTCTATTGAAATCAGCAATCAAACTAATTTACATTTAAAATCTACTGTTAATTTCACAAATTACAATTCAAATCTAATTCATATCAATAAAATTCAGAAAAAGATTGTACCTCAAGTGAATGACTAAGCATGTGTTGCTTCAAGTGAGCAGGTTTCTTGAAACTAGCACCACATTCTTCACATGTGTTATTACAATTTTGCCCCTCGTTCTTATCTTCACCTTCAACTTCTCTCTTTTTCTCCAATTCCTCCTGTAATTAACACAAATAATGCGTCAAAAATCAGGAAAAATCGGAAAAATTTAACGAAAAAATTGAATTCGTTTGGGTGTGGAAATTCAATTACCTGATGATGAGAGAGAATGTGAGAATTGATGAGCGACTTTTTAGATCTGCAAATACTACAAAATTCGCAGTAATATCGACGAATATCTCTGAAAATTGGACCTATTTCTCTCTCTTCAAGCTCTTCTCCCATGGATGCCACTTCCTCTCTCTTACTGAGCAGTGAAGCTGCGGTTTCTAGGGTTTGAATTTCGGCAAAAAACAATGAATGATTAGGGATGGATTTGGTATTTATACTCAGTAGTCCGTACTATGCTAGTGTATTGCTAATAATTTATGGGCAATTTGTTGGGCTTATTGCAATATGGGCTAGGATTTCGTGTGTAATTGTGCATGACAACATGGCAAATTAGCCCCTATGAATAATAAGGTTGTGGACATGTGTACAATAAGTCACATTTTAAAATCCCGCCATCATCGACCGTTCATGATTTGAAGTTTTTTGGGTAAATTTTAGGGTGTGTTTGAAAGCGGTTTTTAGAATAGCTTTTAGTGTTCAACCACTATATGAATCGAATACTCTATACTCCCTCTCTTTCAATCTTAGTGCCTTGTTTTTTATTGACACTTATGTCAACGCAAAATTTTAACGTGTAACCACCTATAAGTTATACAGAGTACAAAGTTGGAAAAATATACATTGAGGCAATTGTAACAACTAACAAGTGTCCATATGGCTAGTTTCATGCTTTAATCATATGTTGGGTCAAAGTGACATATGTGATTAATGTGAACAATTCAAAAGCCATATTAGATGCTTATATTAAAACACAAATAATAGTAGGCATTGTAAAGGAGATCAAGTACAACTATTGAGTTAAGGTTTTCTCTCCTTCAAACGCATTGCAAAATGATATACATTTACTCGTTTCACTCCGATATAAACACCCTCAGGACGACATTAATGTAAAAATACCGAATACTTCGTAATAAAAAAGTAAGAAGCCGAGAACCCAGGCGGGAAAGGCAATTCATTATTAGTGTCCTAAAACCCTACACAAGTCCACATAACTCCTCAGTGAAGTGAGTCTTATAATTTCTGTCGCAGCAAACCACACACTCGCCGGAAAACGCCGAAGATGCCGTCGTTTCCGCAACCAGGCACCGTCACCGTCTGCGAAATCAACCGAGACCTCAGTATTTCTCTCTTTCTCTCTCCTCAATTTCCTTCACCATTTTTAATTTCTGCTGAATTTAATCTCAACTAAACCATGTTAATTTTCCAGTTACTGCTGATAATTTATC